TCAAACTATATAGAACCAACTAAAATTTTGTTTATTAATCTGAATACCCTGAAATGTTATGATTTAGTTGAATATAAAATGGCACAGATAATGTATAAAGCACAAAATAACTTGCTTTGCCGCAGTACTCGGAAGCTGTTTGAAGTCTAAAGGCATGCTTCAGCTAATACCTTTTGATTAGCCTTGTCTCATGCTTTCTTGCTTTGTGGTAATCTTTATTCTGTATTCACTGAGATATTTGAATGCTAAACAATAAATCAATCAATCAAAAAAAAAAAAAAAGAAGATGGGACTGTATTAACTAATGCTTAAATGTTTTATGCAGGAGGTATGGTCATAAAATCTCACTAAATTTCTTGTAAAAGTTTGCTATGGACTGTTTTTACTTGAGGCAGTTACCCTCTTGATTTCTTCTATTGTTATTTTAGCTTTAGTTAAGCTGTTCAAGTTCATCCTCCTCTAGGTTTGGAAAGTATTTTTATTTTTTTATTTTCATATTTTAAAGGCTCTTGTAGAAAAACTGTTACTGTTGCATTAAATTAATTTGTTTTAATGAGTGATTCTTATGGTTAATTCTAGTGATCACTGAGAATGTATTATTGTATGTGAAATAAAATTGTTCTGTTTTTCTTATGTTTTGGCCCCTAACTGTGTTTTACTGTATACAGTGTACTCTTGAATAAACAGCTTTTCCAGTCTCACTTCATTTCTGGATATCTTAAAATTGATCTAGTGTCGTGTTGGATTTACTTGATTCAATAATGGACATTAGTTGGACAGCTCACCAGTCTATCACCAACAACCATTTGAATACACATTGACAGATAATTTAGAATCCCCAATTAATCTAACTCTAACAACTGCATGACTTAACTATGGGAAGAAACCAGAATACCCAGAGAGAACCCAGTGCAAACTAGCCAGATTGTGGATTTGTATCCACCTTCTTACTGTGAAGCAACCGCAATAACCACCATGCTACCAATTCAGACTTAACAAAAGTAGGAAAGCTATGATTTCAAGGCTTGATGCAGAATTTTTTGTACGTTTTTGTCTTTGACAGGTTAAACCACAATAAATAGCGATAGCATACACATGATGTGTGTGTAGTTGTCTGCCTCTTATAGCTCCAGTGATTTTCCTGCAGTTTGAAATCTTGTGCGATCTTGTGAATTTCATGAGTTCAGCAACTAACCACTCTTACTAGATTGTTCTTGTTGAGATGACCTGATACAAATTAATTGTTGAATTTCATACAGATCCTTCATGATTTAATTACGTTCATAGAAGCATGAAATTATTGTGTTTAAATTACAAGTTAGACTTTTTTTTAATGTAACAACCACCCAATTTAATTCTTTCGGTATACCAAAAAAAGCAGAGGCGGCTGCTCGACTTGACTGAGATGGATGCCTGACTGAAATCCCGTGCAGTGTCGCAGCACGTTATTGACTTACTTCACTCGAACATGATATGAACAATTTAATCTAGCCTCTCTGCATATCACGTAGTTTCTACACTATATAGTTACACTTAACTTTAAAGCATGAGGCACTTGTGTTAAATACACGCAAGATGCTTACGTAAATCCAAGAGCTGGCCAATCCCTTTTTTTCCCCCCCATTGTGCTGGTTTTTTTTGTGTTTAGTAATATTCTATTCTCAAATCAGTTTACCTTCAATTTACAAAATGTGAACCATACACCAACCATTGTACATATAGATTCGCATTTGATACCTTTGCCCACAGCTGAGTGCATCATTGCTGCTGCCAGCATCATAATGTCATTAAATAGATGCCAAATCAAACCAAACTTCAGAACTGCTATTCTGAGTCTGCTGAATCTCAGAAATAACAATCATTGTGCTTACTCCAGCTTCAAGTAGTCAACACCTAGATGGTTTATTTTGTATGCACTATGTTTCGGCACATTCCACGCAAAAATACCATGTTCTTTATTTGGCAATGCTTGGCTAATTCTGGATTAGTTTTGTGTGCGGTGAGGAAGAGGCCAGGGGCAAATAGGGTGGAGAGCTGGGTCAGGATTGACAAGGAATCCATGACATGGATGAAAGTGCCGTAGGGGGTGAAATGATCCTTTACCCTTGCCACCAGGAGGAGGAGAGCCATGACCATGGTCGTGAGCATGTGGAGGGGGGCCACCACCATGGTCGTGAGCATGTGGAGGGGGGCCACCACCATGGTTGTGAGCATGTGGAGGGGGGCCACCACCATGGTCGTGAGCATGTGGAGGGGGGCCACCATGACCATGTGGATGGCGTCTTCCATGATGTCCACAGACAGGCTCCTTCTCACCAGGCCCAAGGGCAGTGGTGTTCTGTTGAGAACAAAGACAACAAATGCAAGAGTTGTTTTTTTGTTGTTGTCGTTTCTTGATAAGTTGCCATAAAAAAGGAAATTTATTGCAAAGCTGCTGTTGGTCTCACCTCTGCAGGATAGAACTCACACTCAGTGGACAGGAGTCCATTTTGACTGGAGTAAGATGAACGGCAGAAAGCATGACGCTTTAAAAAAGTAAAAATATATACAATGAGAGAACTAACAGGAATGAGCCATAAAAAAGGTATTTGTCATTTAGGAATTAGCTGGAAGATCTGTAATGTTTGTATTTGATTTAATACTTCTTACAACTGTGCAGTAAATCTCTTGTTACTCTTTAACATTGTGATAGAAGTTTAATGGGAAGTGGTACTCCTGATCTCACGGAATACACACAGCTAAACACTTTACTAATTTTAGTACACAGCATATTAAAATGTGGCTCAGGATTTTCTGAAGTGTATGAGTTGTACTTACAGCTCTGTCAGGACAGAGCGGAACGCATGCCTCAATTATGATTCTAGAGCCCATTGGGCAACGAGTCTCCACAAGAGCGAACTCAGGATAGTAGTTCATTCCTAATCCCATTATATACTACAAGAAAAGAAAGTGTAAAGTTAAACAGTGACTGATCTTATGAGTTCACAAAGAGGGGGAGGAAGAAAAGGATCCTCTGTACCCCAGTTGATATCCGTCCCACTTCCTTCAAGATGTAGTAATGCTGGTTACTGGTGTTCTTGTTGAATTCTGCTGTCGCTTCACGAACAGACTTGAGACCTTCAGAGTTGTTGAGAGGCAGCAGCACAGGACAGTCAGGGCAGATGCGTACCATCTCCAAATTCGTTTTTTCTGCAAACACACAAAGAATTGTACTGAGCGTTCAGAGGATTCCAAAAATCACTCACTGAGGCTCTTTAGCGTTTTCTGTCAAATATTCTCCCTTGCAATCTTTCACAAGATAAAGAACTTCTCCCCATGTTTACTTCCTAAAGACTCCTCTTCACTAGGATGCTTGTTTGAAATCATTTTTCAATCGTGAGTTTCTTCATTGTATTTTTTTTAGCGTTACACACAAAGTATTTTGTCACCCTTGTCCCAACTTTTTGTGAGACATGTCAAATGCTTTAAATTCTAAATAAGCATTTTTTAAAACAAAACA